AGATTTAAATAATTAAGTCTCAAAACCATAAAAATCCTAGAAGAAAACATAGGCAGTAAAGTCACAGACATCTTGTGTAGCAGAATTTTCACCAGTACATCTACGCCAAGAGAAACAAAGGAAAAAATAAATGGGACTAAGTCAAAGTAAAAAACTTCTGCACAGCAAAAGAAACCATCATCAAAATGCAAAGGGACCCTCACCGGTATGGCTCAGAGGTTTGAGCATCGACCTATGATCCAAGATATTGCGGTTCGATTTCTGGTCAGGGTACATGCCTGGGTTGCAGGCTTGACCCCCGGTGGGGGGACGTGCAGGAGGCAGCTGATCAGTGACTCTAATCATTGATGTTTCTATATCTCTCTCTCCCTTCCTCTCTCTGAAATCAATAGTAATTTAAAAAAAAGGTCTAAATACAGGTTGGAGACTTGTGGTGTCTTTTTTTCTCATGTGCCCTGAAGTCTGGAGGCAGGCTATCCATGGCCACTGCAGTGGTTCTGTAAGTAACAGGGAGCCAGAACCCCTCAATCTTTTTCCTCCATCACCCTGAGCAAGAGACTTCCATTCTCAAGGTTGTCTGTGGTCACAAGATGACAGTTGCAGCTCTAAGGATTGCATCCTCCTCTCCAGGTAGAAAAAAGAAGGACATGGGGAAAGGGCAAAGGGGCACTTGCCAGCTTACCCTATAGTCCCATTCAATAATTTCCATTTCCATCTCCATGTCTGTTGTTTTTTTTATACTGAGAAACAAATAGTGGCTATAACAAGCAGTTACTTTTCACTAATGGGTCTGGATCACTGCAAGATGGGGTTCAGATTTCTTCTCAAGCCTACGGTTCTAGGACCCAGGAAGAGAACGCAACTGCCAGGGACGGTCTCTTCTTAGATGAACAGTCTATTCTCAGGAGCCCAAGAGGAGTGAGCAGAGACACAGAGGCCTTTTAAAGTCTTATCCTCCTTAATCTCATCAGAGAAAACCAGAGCAAGTGTGAGCAAGTGCAGAGCCAGTGGGCAGGAAGGTGTGCTCTGTCCACAGCCCATGGGGCAAGAGCCAGCCAGAAGAAGAATGGAAGGGGCAGCACACTCTGCCTCTGTCTCATTGGCCAGAGCATTGTTCCAGCTCTGCTGGGAAGCTGGGAAATATCTTTCCTCAGCTGAGCACAGGGTCCTGTTAGGAAGGCAGATGGAGAAATCTGGGTGTCGGGGGCAGCTGGTAGTGCCTACCACAGGGGACAGTATCCCCTCCCCTTGTTCCCTATACGAGCTAGGTGATAGTGATGAGACTAAGTCTTGATGAAACCCATTTTGCCTTCAGGGACTTTGACTCTTGAGGGATGGTGAAATATAAGTCATGGTAGTGGCATATGCATCAGAAAGCAAGCAGTGGTGGCTAATGTCCAGTGATGAGGTGATAGTGATGCCCAGGATGGGTTTCCCAACTAGATGGTCCCTTTAGTACACCTCAGCTGTGTTTTCAGTTGTGCGGCTGCTTTTCTGAGCTTAGTTCTTTTAGTTTTCAGTTATGTGACCATTTTTCTGGTCTTGACTCTTTAGTCTTCTTTCCATTTCCAGATCTGCCAAAAACACACACACAAAAAAAACTCCTTTGTAATTGCAGTTAGCTAGAGTTGGTTTCTGTTGCTTGTAGCCCAGGTCCTTGATATATGGGCAAGGAAAAAACATGCTTTCATAATTTTATCTCAAGATAGTAGGGGAGCTTAGGCTTTTTGAGCCATCTTGCCTTAGGATTAAATCTCAGCTTTTATGCCTACTAGTTGTCAAGTCCCTTTTCTGTCCTTGAGCCTGTGTTGCCTTTGGTTAAATGCTGCTTTGGTGTCTTGTCGAGCATTCAGTGAGACTATGTAAAGCAGTGGTTGTGAAAGTATTGGGAAGTTGTCTTTGTCTGAGCTTTTGGATTGATTATATATCATTTGAGTAATGGGTTGGTAACTTAGGAGTACTGATAGCAGCTAAAAGGGCCCTCTGGAAAAGGGGTAAAGAAGGATGAGAAGTGCTGCTGGTGCCCACTGAGCAAGACTCTCCAGTAAACCTTGGCCTCCATCAAAGCACAGTGCTTGACAAACAGAGACTGTTCAGTGAATGAATGAATAAATGAATGCTTGGGTGTAATACCATGGGATTTAGGTGAGTCTGAAGTGTTTGAATTGGGGAAAATAATTTGAGCTACATACCACCATCCAAGAAATTATCCTAGGCTTAATGCCTCTGACCTGGCATTGAGACAGTTATCTTGGACTATTCAAAGGTCACTTATTGTGAGTGTACTTGGGAAGATTCTTTTATTTCCTTTTTAGTCTAGATTTGAATGCAAGCCTTTATTGCTGACTTTACCGCTAGTCACCACTAATGAACTAAGAATACGAACAAGAAATTCATTAAAAAAAAAGAGAGATACAGGTGGCTAAGAAAGATAGGAAAAGAGTTCTGTCTCAGTGATAATCAAAGAGACACAAATGAAAACAAACTAGATGCAGTTATCACATTCCAAATTTGTAAAGATTAAAGGGACAAAAAGAAATACCTAGTGCCAGCTAATACTGGGATCTGCTCCTGCTGCACAGCTTGCTCCCCACCTACTGAACCAGCCTACACACGCAGCTAGGTGAGACCTTTCCTTGTCTATGGGCACATATGGATCCACTGTTGAGCAGGTGACTCGCCCACACGGTTCACAATTCGGGAAGTGCAAACTTATTTTTTCAGAGACAGTGGAAGGGGGAGAGACGGAGACAGAGACATTGATGTGAGGGAGAGACATCAATTGGTTGCCTCCCACACGTGCCCTGACCGGACTGGGGAGCAAGCCCACAACCAAGGTGCGTGCCCTTGACCGGAATCGAACCCAGGACCTTTCAGTCCATGGGCCAATGCTCTAATCACTAAACCAAACCTGCTAGGGCAGGAAGTGCAAACTCTCGAGTGATTCTTGGTCTGTGAGTGTCCCTGCTACCACCCAGGCCCTTCTGTAGGGAACGACTGCTTTCAGGGTCCTGTATATGTTCTTTGATGTGGTCTGTGCACATACATACACTTGGAAACCTATTTTTATTTTCCCTGCACCTGCTCGGGTCAGGTATATTTCTGTCCATTTTGTCTAGGTTACTAAATTCATTAGCATGAAGTTGTGCGTACCTTTTTATAAACCTCTGCAATATCTGTATTTATGTCTACTTTTTCATTCTAGAATTGTTTGCTTGTACCTTCTCCCTTTTTCCTTGTCTTGGTAGAACTTTGCTGATTTTATTAGTCTTTCAAAGAGCGATCTTTTGGGCATTGTCCTGTATTACTGTATTTCTGCTTTCTAGTTCATTAAGTTCTGCTTTTATCTGTATTATATCTTGTACTTTCTTGGGGTATGTTCTCTGGTTTTCTTTTTCTCACTTCTTAAATTGTAAACTTAGCTCATTGATTTCCAACCTTCTTTTCAAAGATAAGCATTTAAAGCTGACCCTCAAACTATTTCAGCTGCATCCAGCAAGTTTTTGATGTATAGTACTACCACTTTAAGTCACCTTGAAGGGTTTTAAAAATGTTCATGATTCTTCCTTTGAACCACAGATTATTTAGAAATGCATTTTTTAAATTTCTTAGCACATGGCTTTGTGGTCTTTTCCTAGTTACTGTTTTAAAAACTCAAGTTCTAGCTAAACTGCACTGTGGTCCAAGAACTTGGTATTTGTGACACCAGCCCTCCCAGCTTGTTGAGAAGTATGTGACTGCTTGAATAGAGCATGCAGCTGTCAGGCAGGGATGCAGAAGCTAATCACCTCAGTCTTGTCCACTGGGTTATGAAAGAGAGTTCACTGTTATTTTGTCCGCTTGAGTTACCCACTGCTGGGGAACCTTTGTTTCCTGCCATGCTGGTGGTCACGTCATTTTCTCCGTAGGCTCTTGTTAATTTTGGTGTTATTTATTTTGAAGCCTTTTAGAAGGTATTTTATTTTCCTGGTAAATTGAACTTTTGGCATTATGAAGTGATCCTCTTTATAATTAACAGTGCTTTTGCTTTGAATTTTACTTTGTTTGATAGCAATGGCACTTGTACCACCTGTGTTTTGGTCAGTACTGCCACTTTTCATTTTCCTCCCTTTTGTGTCTTTATGGGTTGGATGTAACTCTTGAAAAGTGGCAAATAGCTAGGTTTTTTAAAAAATCCATTCTGTCTGTTTCATCCATTAACATCTATTTAATTACTGATGCATTTAGATTTGTTTATACCATTTTACTTTGTGTGTTCCAGTTTTTCTACATTTTCTGTTCCTCCTTTCTTGCCTTAGATTGATTTTTAAAGAATTTGGTAAGATACACATAACATAAAATTTACCTTCTTAAACATTTTTAAGTATACAGTTTAGTGGCATTAAATAAATTCAAATTGTTATACTACCATCTTTTGGATTGAGTTTTAATTTGTTTCACGTAGTATATGTAGTGCCCTACCCTTCGTTTATATTTTTCATTTGCCAGTAGAACATTGTTATGGACTAAAGTGTTCGTGTTCCCCCAAAATTCACATGTTGATGCCCTATCCCCCAATGGGACGATATTTGGGGATGAGGCCTTTGGGAGATTATTAGGGCTATATGAGCTCACTCACTGTCTGTCATGTGCCATGAGTACATTGGTAAGAAGGCAGCTGTCTGCAAGCCAGGAAGAGGGCCCTCACCAAACAGCGAATCTGTCAGCACCTTGATCTTGGACTTCCTGCCGCTAGAACTGTGAGAAATAAATTTATAATGTTTAATCCACTCAGCCTGTGGTATTTAGTTATGGCAACCCAAGAAGACTAATACATCCGTGTTATGAAAAACATACACCTTTTAAATATACCTTACTTTGCATTGCAAACTTAGCATATCTTCTATCTTGGCCTTCTATTGGCTCCCTACCCCTTGCCTCTGGACACCCTGCATCTTCTCTGTGCCAAGCTTTCCAAAAGAGTAGTTTATATTCACGATCTCCACCTCCCCATTGGTCAGCCCATAGGATCGCTTCTCTACTCTGTCCTTCCACGTGCAGTGGTTCTGGACGAGCTGCTGTCTGCCTGATCAGGATCCACTCATGGAATCCACACCAGCTCAAGAGGCAGTCTCGTCCTTACCCACACTCTACAGGTGAGAACTTACCAGACTCAAGCATTTACCTTAGTGGCCTTTCCATGGCATGTGAAAATGTTGATTTCCTTCTTGCAGCTCTTCACTGGCAAAAAAGGGGAGTTAAACCAGGTCATGCTTTTTGACCCTCAGCTCTTTGTCCCCTCCCCTGCACTGGGCTCTGTGTCCTGCATTGAGGCTCCTGTGAACTTCTCTCCAAGCAGTGCCAGATGACGGTGAAGTTACCTATTGCTGCATGCGCCCTCTGCTCTGCTGAAGCCACTGAGAGCAGTGACTGCCTCTGCTCACCCACCACAGCTTCCCCTTGTTACCTATGGTATGGCACTTGTTACACCTCTTGTTCAGTGTATAACATTTGTAGGTATGCTGGAACTGTGGAAGGAAGACAGCAGCCAAGGAGTAAGTCCGCCTAGATCTAGAGGTGGCACATTAAATACTAGAACCAAAAACTGAGCTCAACTAGGTTCGTGTCCCAGAGTTTTTGTCCCACCAAATAACAGTGGTGGATCCCTGAGCATGACTTAGTTTGATGGTTGGTCCTAGGAGTACAGAGAAGTAAAGGTTGAAGTATGTCTGCAGAAAATGATCTTAAGTTGAATGAGAGATTAATGAATGACTGTCTCTGTTAGCTCCAGGAGCCTCTGATCTTCCAGAAGATGCTCCCGTGGACCCTAGAGGTGTTATCAGATGTCTGAAGTCAGCAGGACAGGTCCTTCTCCACCCAGGCATTGTCCCATTCCCCCACTACCACCTGGGTGGCTGCTCTGTCAGGAGTGTTCCATTGCCCACCTGACAGTCCATGGATGAGTCTTCAGGTTTAAGCTGGCATCCCATTAGGTGGCGCCAGCACTAAAATGAAGTATGAACTTGTTTTGCTTCGTGTTAGAAAAAGGCTCATGGGGTGTATGTACAACTTAGTCAGATTTTACTGTGCAAAGCATTTGAAGGTTTTTGCCCTTTTCTCTCCTTCTCATCCTCCTTAACTCACTGTTTGCCTTTCCACATCCCTGCTTCCCCCCATATAAGGTACTTAGATCAAAAGACCAATCACCCAAACCCCATGTCCTCTGGTCTATGTCACACTTGATAGCAGCACCAGTCATGCAAGCTGGGAACCCTAGAGTCTCTTGCCCTGCCTATCACTGCCCACATACCAGGAGCCAGCCAGCCCTGCCCTATGTTTCCTTTATTTCTCCAACCTCTCTCTTCATCCCTCCTCCACTAACCTGGTTCAAGGCCTCATCTCTCTCTCTAGGACTTCTACAGTAACTTGCTAACTCTCCTGCACATTTCTATCGTCCATGCATTCCCTAGAGTCAAATATCACTCCCCTGCTTTAAACCTGAGAATGGTACCCCTGTCTTCAAATGGTGTTGAGGCCCCTAATGTGACCCCTGCCTCTTTATGGCTTCTGTTGCCACCCCTTTTCTCGTAGGTGTACCCCTCAGCCATACAGTACTGCTCTCTCTCTGTGTTTCCCCTGCTGCATTTCCTTCTCCTATTTATTCTTGAAAACTCAGCTCAGGTATTCCTTCCTGTGGAAAGCCCTCCCTAAGCCCCCAGGGCCCATCTGGGTTAGATCCCTCCTCTTGCTCCCACTTCATACCAAGAGAGCAGCCTGTTAACTGTCATGCCCATGTATCCCAGGCAAGAGGAGGAGCTGTGTCTTCCACATTCATGATCCACGCTCTCAAAAAAGCATGCTGAGCTCTGGCCAGGTGGCTCAGTTGATTGGAGCATCGTCCTGTGTACCAGAAGGTCACTGGTTCCATTCCCAGTCAGGGCACATACCTAGGTTGCAGGTTCAATTCCAAGTTGGGCGAGTACAGAAGGCAACTGCTGTGATGTGATGTTTCTCTCACATCGCTGTTTCTCTCTCTTTCTGTCCCCTTCCTCCTTCCTCCCTCTCTAAAATCAATAAAATTTTAAAAAGCATGCTGAGATGCTCGTTCCACTCAGCTTTCCAAGCCCACACACTCCCTGTCTTAGGCTTGCTCACCACCCCAAACAGTCCCCCTCCGTTGAGGATTCATTGGCAGGCCCACAGTCTTTGTCTCTCTGACCCAGTTTTTCCATTCCACAGGTGACTTAAGTGTGCACATAGATGACCCTCCTAGTGCCTGTCTGTCATCTCCTTAACCACCTCTCCTCCAGTGACCTCAGCCACCCACTGCCACGGTCACAGCCTGGACTTTGTCATCACTGGAAACTGCTCCACCCACGGAGCCGTAACAGCTCTGCTGGTGACAAAGACTTCCTGTGCTCCTAGCTCGCAGGTTCCACGTTCCCCGGGACTCTGTCAGTATTCCCTCCTATCATGAATCATGCCCATCACCCTACAAACATTTTAGAATTTCCTGCCTTCACTGAGCACTCCCTCCTCCACTCCTGCCCTATTCTCTGTTCCCCCTTTGGCCAAGCTCTTCAAGAGTTGTCTACTCACCATCCCATCTCCTCACTTCCCACTGTTGCTCAGCCCACTCCACAGAGGCTTTCTTCCCCACATTCCACGGAACAGTCACAGCCCTCAGTGGATGTCCACATTGCCATGGCCATTGGCAAGTCCTCCTTTTGACATGGTTATTCCCTCCTGGAAACTTTGTATCTCCTCTGGGACCTCACCCTCTCCCTGTACAGCATCACTGGCATAGTCAATTTTCTTTTCCTTGGCCACCTTATCTCATCTCTGAGCCCCCTTCTGTGTTTGGAGGAATTCTCATCCCACCTTATGAGTTTGATGAGAGGCCAAATGACCTCTGACTGTAGTCTCTGATGCTTCTTTTCCTAGGTTCTCTTTCAGCTGGGGCAGCTGTTGGCAAACTACATCCCAAGGCCAAATCTGGCCCACTGCCTGTTTTTGTAAACAAAATTTTATTGCAGTCCAGTCCCACCCCTTCCTTTATGCATTGTCTGTGGCTGCTCTTCCACTACACCGGCAAGTTGAGTGGTTGTGACAAAGACCATGTGATCCACAAAGCAGAAAATATTTGCTGTCTGGTCCTTTACCCAAAAAATGGCCTGAGTCCTGTCAGGAGGGTATGGGCATGTGTTCGGGCTCCACCACTCAGACCTGCCTGGGGAGAGGGGGGTGGGCAGCAGGAGAAGCCCTTGCTCAGTGCCAGGGCTGCCAGTAGGACCCCAGTGGCCTGTGGCCAGTGCTGCCTCCTGCAGGGTGGCAGAGGCAGTGCTGGCTGCCCTATGCCAACCTGGCAACAGGATTTGGAATATTGTTCCTGGCCAACTAAACTCAAAACCTTTTCCTCCAACCCTCTAGGGATTCTCTGGCCACCCAGTGAGCCGTTTTCCCCAGTTTTTGTTATTATGGTAAAATTTTACACATGACATAAAATTTACCATTTCTAAGTGTACAGTTTTGTAGTATTAAGTACATTCATATTGTGCAAACATCACCACCTTCTATCTTCCAGTAGCCTTTTAATCAAGTCCTTGTCTGTGTAGATCAGTTAGAGTTGGTCTCCTTTGCTTGCCACCAATGATCTGAACAGATATACCTGGATTGTCCTGCTACCACCTCACTCCTCTTCCTCTTTCTCCTTTGCTGACTCTTCTCACCAGGACTCCAGATAGTGAAGGCACGGTTGTTCACACTCATATCTGAGGTGCCCTCACTCACTCGCCTGGCTCTTCAGACCTCTGTGCTGAGAACTGAATATCTGGCTCTAGCCCAGACCTCTCCCCTGAACTCTAGGCTCATATATCTGACTGCCCTTTAGACTTCTAGAAGGCAAAATATCTCAACATTAAAAACATAAAATATGGAAATCATAACCCTTGATCGGCATCACTCCTGCCCTCAGCAAATTGCCCTCCACTGACAGCAGCACCTAGACCAGCCACCGCATCACCCATCTAGACTATGCAATAGCTCGTACAGCATAGAGGTCACCGGCAGATCCCCAGCTGGAGGTATGGTCAGCAGAAAGCCTCCAACTGCCTGTTCCTTTGAGTGAGAGCCTTCTCACCTGGTCACACTGTTTCCAGGACAGCGCCTAGGTGACTGAGTGAGGGGGTGTATAAAAACCCTTGCCTTGTCATCTCTGCCCAAGGTAGGCCAAAGCTTTGTTGGGCCTACATTACACTTTGGCTCCTTCCTCTACCCAGATCTACTTCCTCCCCCATTCACGGTGTCAATCTCTAATAAACATTTAACACCCCAAATTGTGAGCCTGCCCTGCAGCACCTTGAGTCTCCCTGTCCCCTCACCCACACACACTCTACATCTTCACATAGTGAGCTTTTTAAAACTGTTTATCTGATTATGTCACTACTCTGAGAAGAAACCCTCTGGGAACCGCTCATCCCTCTCAGAATAAAATCTAAAGTCTACTGCCTGGAAGCAGGACTGGCTTCTTGAGCATGTAACCTATATAATGCCCAGGGCTTAGAAGAACTGTGCTTGGCGTAATGCTCTACTGTGGCCATCTCAAAATTCTCCATTTTTAAAAAAATATATGTGTTTATTGATTTTAGAGAGAGAGAGGAAAGGAGAGGGAGAGAGAGAAACATCAATGAGAGAGAACCATCAATTTGCTGCCTCCTGCACTCACCCCCACCCCCAGCCCCACTGGGGATCAAGCCCACAACCCAGGCATGTGCCCTGACCGGGAATTGAACTGGCAACTTCTCAGTGCACAGAACAATGCTCAACCAACTGAGCCACACCAGCCAGGGCTCAAAATTCTCCATTTTTAAACAAGGGTCCCTGCTTTTTCATGTTGCACTGGGCCCTGAAAATTGTGTAGTCAGCTCCGCCTTATTTTGAGCTCATTTTCTCTGCCTTGCTCATGTGGCTCCAGCCCATCGCTCTTGCTTTTCCTGGAACATGCCAGATTGTACCTGGGGTCAGGGCCTTGGCTCTTGCTTCTCCTTATGCCTAGGCCCCTCTTTATAAACCCAGGCATAGGGCCTCCCTCCATCTCTTAGACCTCACCTCTGACCTCGTGTGTGCGGACGCACGGAGACCCATAATGGCTATGCCAGAATTTGAGCTCATGGCTTGCTGGCTTTAGAGCTTATGCCCCTTACCACTGCACTAAACTGTCTTCTGATGTTCTCCCCCACCCCCCTGGAAATCATTTGCTTTTTCCTCCCTCAGGGTGCCTGAAGAATTCTTTTTTTATTCTTAAAGTTGGGGAGGTTGACCAGAGTCTTACTGTTGAGTGTTCTTTATTACATTTTCATGGGAACACAGTGTATTCTTTCAAGCTACATATGTAGTTTGTCTTCATTTCAGGTCAGTTCTCTTACAATATATCTTTGATGACATATTTTCCATTTTGGGGGTTCCCTACTATG